CTGGTGACCAGTGCTGCTGCTGCCAGCAGTGAACCCAACAGCACAGGTGAGGCCCTGGCACTGCTTTCCAGAGAGCTGTGGGTGCCCCATCCCTGGAGGTGCCCAGGGCCATTGGATGGGACTCTGGCAGCCTGAGCTTATGGGGGCAGCAAGCCTAGGACAGAAGGTTAGAACTGGGTGGGTTTTAAGGTCCTTTCCAACCCAAACCAAATTGCTTCCCTTCTGCAGCCCCTTACCCTGCCCACCTGGCTCATCTGCCAGCACAGGCAAGCAACGTGCCTTGCCACGTGCTGTTGCTTTCCCCAAGAGGACATCATATCTGCGCACGTGTGAGCGCTGTGCTTCCTTCCCCAGCGTGTTATCGATTGCTGAAGGGACACAGTACAACTGCCTGGCTACATTTCAAGCATTTCATAACTGATGGTTATTGAAGACGTATTACATCAGCCTTGTGTGTGCTGCTGGGCTCTGGTTGTGGGCTCTGGGGTTTTCTTCCCCTTGCTCCTCAGCAATACGGGCAGTAGGGCCGGGCATGCTGCCTGCAGGAGGAGCCCTGTAGTGCCTGGCCTGAGCAGCCGTGCTGCCGTATCACACCTTCTGGAAGCAGCACACACACGTTTCCTCTCCTGGTGGAAGATGCTGTGAGTTTACTATGCTGACACTCCCCAAGTCTGGTGCTGTTCATCTGGCTCCTTCCTCTGCAGTTTCTAAATATTAAATGCTTCAATGCTAAATATACATTTTGCTACTGGTTCATCAGCACAAAAGGAAGAAGTTAGGGTACAATCTAATGCCAGAAGCAGATAACACACATTAGAAATGCGCTTTTCCATCCACGAGTGCAGCACAACCTCTTGGCTGGGACATCTTCTCAAGAGCATCCAGAGACTGCTCGTGACAGGTTTAATCATTAACCTTGATTGAAAAGCCAGTGTTTGCCAGCAGCTACCAATCCACGTGTCAGAGCTCACCCTTGAGCACTTCTGCACAAGGAGCAGAAAATAACCCGGCAGTGACTCAGCTCTCTGACACGTGGTGCCTTTCTCTCCAGTGCAACCCAAGCCAATGCTGCAGTGCTTGGGTATATCCCACCCATGGTCCTTCACTCACATACCAGCACCTTGAAGGAAAATCTGATAAGGTACTGCCATTTCCAGGCTTGCTCTTCTGCTTTTCCACCCCGGCGTTCCCACGTCCATCCTATGGAAGCACAACTAAGTGAACACAGAGCTTTATTTTCTTGCCAGTGACCTCAACCCATGAGAATATACATCTGTGTATGCTGTGCCACAAATCCAGCTGGGGACCTCAGCTGCATTTCTCCATTATAGACAGCAGCCAGCAGAGCCTCTGGCACAGGCACCAACCTGGGAGGGTTCCGTGAGCAGTGTGCCTGGGGAGGGTCCCTGTCCCCAGGGCAGTGTGTGTGTGCCACCACCGCTGTGTTCCCAGAGGGAAACTCCTGCAGCAACCTCTTTGGCACCAGCAGCGCTGCTACAGTGTGCCATTGGAAACTTTATTTACTCCCTATTTTCAGCACTACCTTGTGAGGAAAGTCAGCATCATCTAGTCCTTGTAGAGCCTTTTGTAGCCTCAGACTCATCCGTTCCTCTCCGGCTTTGGGAAATGCTGCTTCTTGTGCATTTTGCTTTTGGCAGTGTAATGTGGTCAGGCTTCACCTCCCCAAGTCTGATAAACCAAGTGACTCAGAAACCTGCAATCTGCTTCAAAACAAAGCATTTAAGTTGAGAGATGTAAGCAGTAATGGAGCTGCTCGGCTCGGGAGCACAAGTGCTAAAGGAAGATTCATGTATGCAGGAACCTTCTAACCTTTCAACAGTTTTTTTTTAACCCCTGCAAGCCCTGGGCAACGTGGGTGGCAAGTAGGAGCCAATGTGTCATTTCAGATACACTTCCTCTCCAGTTTGCAGTACCCTCAGAGCGGACGATGCTCTGATGCCAGCACAGAGCAACAAGGATGATGTAGGGTGGGGAGAGCCGAGTGCTCACTCTGCAGCCTCCTAAGTGCTCTTATTTCTGCTAGTTAAACAGATGCTGCCTTCAGAGGGGATTATGTGTCATCAATTCAGTCAGTCGCGACAACTAATTGTCTCCAGCAACAGTTTGCTCTGAGATTGGCAGCTCAAGGGGCATACGGGGGCACTGCCACCCAATGCTGGGTAGCATGGGGAGCACAGGGCTGGTGCTAATGGAGCCCAGCACAGTGGTGAAGTCTAGGGTAAAAACGTTCCACAGCCTGGGATGGGAGAGATTTCTGGTGAGAGCAGTCAAAAGAGTAAATAGTTGTGGAATGCAGCTTCGAAAACAACACTGAAAATATTATATAACTTCATATAAACTGATAGCTGAGTATCATCAAGACGACCAGGAGAGCTGCAGACCCAGGGACCTGAAGTAATTTCAAGCACTGAAAAACACACAGGGAATGCTGAAAAAGACTATAAATGAGGAAATAGATGGAGAGGAGTTAGTGGAAAAGGCAAGCAGTGAGTTAGGGTCTGTGGCCCAGAGCTGGGTGTGTTTCATGGCAGTGACCCCATGCTACCAGTCCCAGCGTCCAGCTCACCCACAGCTGGGCAGGATGAGGACTGAGGGGGCTGAGTTCTCTGCCACTGCAGCACCCTTAGCACGGGCAAGCATCACCCTGCAGCCTGCACGTCGTACTGCTCATTGGACAGACTCTCCCAGCCCAGTTTCCCATGGAGGTATCCCAGTCTGGGATGGGATGGATCCCTCCCAACTCTCCTCCCTCTACTGCAACCTTCCTGCCCCCTCTAGAGGCTGCATCCAATCCCTCCAACCCGATTAGATCCCCAGCACACAGTGGGTGGGTGGAGGCACCTGAGGCTGTGTGGCTGCATGCACAAGGGTGCAAAGGTGGGCAAGGAAAGCCACAGAGCTGGTTCGTTCACAGCATCACATCCAGAGCTTGGTCAGTGCTGAGGGGCAGGGCTGTCAGCTGCATGTGTGCTGCTTTCTATGGCCGCTGCTGGTGGGGGCAGTGAGAGCCACCTGCAGCCCCAGTATGTGGCCCGAGGCCTGGAGGACACGAGCAAATTGTCACATGTCATTACTGAGTGGGAAGAACCACTCAGCACTGCACTGCTGCAATGCTGAGCCCTTCGGCCAGCACCAGCTCTTCATCCACTGCACTCAGCACAAAAGGAGGGTCTGAAAGGCAGGAATAATTAATAGGAAATGCCTTAAAATGGAGTTGAATCATAGGAAACCACAGAAAATGGAGATGGAGGAAGAGATCAAGGTCTGCAAGGCACCTGCAACAGGAAACACCATCCCCGCTCTCTTACAGCTCCACTTTCTACCCCTTAGCATTTCAGATCTTGTTCTGGAGGACAGGGGAAGCTTGAGTCTCTGAATAGCAGTGCTGCAGAGCTCCTGGGTCTGTGGGGACGCGTAAAGGAATGCAGCTGTCTCTTAAATAACAGAAGCTGACAACCAGCTGTGAGTAGATGAGTGATCATGGCCTCGGCCGTCACAGCGAAGGAGCTCGTTTCAGCGACGAGCCAATGAAGCCCCATTCATCCATCCACAGCCCATCACAAGACTATTAAGAGAGCATCTGTCATGAAACCACAGTCTCTTTAAATGCTTGAAAAAAGGCACAGTAAAAATAACTCTCCTTATTTACTTTTCTTCGGGTGACACGATTCCTGTAAATCTTCAGCAAAAATGAGGGACAAAACCTCCACTCCCTCTAAACTTATACTTACTGGTGAAGATGATGTCTTTTCCTGACATATGCACAGCTCCTCTTACTGCTGGGTAACATGCAAGATGCCCAAAAACCAGATCCACAAGGCCATCCTGCTGCTCATGAACAGATTTGCTTTGGCATAGTCACAGTGCATCTCACAGGCATGAGATGGCAGCTCCTGGATCTGGAGGTAGGCAGCTGGGCTCTGTAATGCACACCCTCTAGGAACCATAGAACCATAGAATCATGAGGGTTGGAAAGGACCACTGAGGGCTTTTAGTCCAACCATCAGCCCGTCACCGCCGTTGAGTGTCTGTGTTCAGCTCAGTGGTGGTGGGAAGGAGTTCACTGCGTGATGCAGCGAGGTGCTTGTCATTTGCACTGACTTGTATTCCAAACCAAATTCCTTGTTTCCTTGTCAACTGTGTTTCATTGTCTCGGGTTGTTTGGAAAAATCAGCTTGTATGTGGATGAAAAAATGGACTGTGCTTATATGGGCACAGCTGTAGGGCATCGTCTGCAGCATTCCACACCAAAAGGTTACACTTAATACCCAAAGTTCCAGTATGGTGAAGCATTGCCTATGGTCATGGATTTTAAGCAGGTAAATATCCTTAAATGTATCAGAAAATGAGCCCCCCACTCCCCAGAAGACCTCGATGCAAACTTGCAAGTCATCACATTGAGGCTTGTCCCTGGCTTTTGGCCAAGCAGTGTATCTCCCACAGTCACTGCTCTGGTGTTTGATTCCACACCAAAGCTACGTGGGGCAGATTTGTCTCACCTAACTCTGCATGCATCCTCCAAAGGGGGCTCAGCCCAGCTGATCCTCTCTGCTACAGTCTCTTCTCTAGCAAAGCTGTCGTGCCTCAAGTAAATCCTGGGAGCAAAGTGTGCATATGGGCAGCACCTAGCACAAGGGGCCGACCGGGACCTTCGTCCCTCTGGGCATAAAACCAGCAAGTAATATTAAAACGATGTATTTTCACAGATTGCAATCAAGGCTTACAGTGCACGAACACTTAATTTCCTGCTTTCGGTCTGCTATCAGATTTTATAGTTGGGACTGTGGGTTTGGTTCATGTTTGTGGTTTTTTTTTCCCAGAATGGGAGAGTTTTCTTCTTTAACTACAATACGTTCAGCCATGAAAATGAGATTGAAAATGATTAATAGGAAGCCAGAGGATTTATCTGAGATTGGCAAAGATTAATGGGAGCCTCATTCTTATCTGGTTGTTTTCTTTTCTCCCTCTCTTCACTTTAGCTACCTAGACAGCTTAGATCGAATCGGAGCTGCAGACTACCAGCCCACGGAGCAGGACATCCTTCGAACCAGGGTCAAAACAACTGGCATCGTAGAAACCCACTTCACATTCAAAAACCTCCACTTCAGGTGAGTCTCAAATTGCACACACCATGGAAGTCGGTGTCTGGGAGACATCAGTACCATAAGTTTGTGAATCTTGTCTCATAATTCCTGTTCGTATATCAAACAGCTCTTTTTAAGACTGGAGCTTGTGCTGCCTTCTTCTAACCCAACCAACACCTCTTTGCTTGAAAAGACAATATGAGGTTGGCCCCAACTCTCATAAATAGACAAATATTGGCCAAATCTTTTTTCCGAAATGAGTTGATCACACACAGTAAGCTCTGTATATTGGTGAACATGATGACAGCCAGCAGAGAGACCGAGCCAGAGGTTTCAACCTCTTGCTCTGCGTTTGGAGCCTTCCAGGAACAATTTGGCTGGAAAGTGCCCAAACTGCTGAAGGTCCCCTCAGCCCACAGTGAGCCAGCACTGATGGCCCTGTCCTGTGCCGCAGGCTCTTCGATGTCGGAGGGCAGCGGTCGGAACGCAAGAAGTGGATCCACTGCTTTGAGGACGTCACGGCCATCATTTTCTGCGTGGCGCTGAGCGGCTACGACCAGGTGCTCCATGAAGACGAAACCACGGTGAGTGCCAAGCGGGTCCCACGGGGCCCCGTGCTTCTTCACGGGATGCCATGGAGCTGTCCCCGCTGGGAGGTGGCCGTGTGCTGGCCGTGGGACTGCAGCTACGTGCTTCTGTGCGTCGCTGCCCCTTTGACATCCCAAGGAGGCTCGTCCTCCTCCGCACTCCCCAAAAACAAGTCCTGCATCCCAGGTAATGGTTCATGTGCTGGCTCACTGTTTTACTTCTCTTTTCTGGCTGATCTCTGTGTTTTCAAAGTGTGCTAACGAGACTCTGTGTCCGGAAGCAGAGAGGCAGATGGGTGGGCTTTTAAAAGAAGTGGAAGGAAGAGGTCCCATAGTGGTGTAGAGGTGTGGGAGCAAGGTGCCCTCCCGAGGCAGGCTCAGGCGAGGAGCAGAACCTATTTCTTCAGGCTACAAAAATTCATTTTCACTAGTAAAAGTGGAACTGCTTGATTCCTTAGGTAATTTGCTTCAGGAGGGCTTTTGTAACTTCCCACTGTGACATTAGGCTCAAAATACCATCTGGAAATAAAGTTAGTAGGGACCTGTGCTCTCTGATATTAGAAAGAGCGCTATTAATACAAATGAGTTAAATATACAGAAAGGATGCGAGAGGACTCATTACTGTATTCTAGCCGTTCATTCAGTGTGATGGAAATGAAAGCTCTGGGGACTAACAAGTGCAGCAAGCACCCGTCTGACAAAAAGGAGCCAAAAGCCATACTTCAACCTGGATAATTATTTCATCTGTGCTCAGTCTCACACCTCCCAGCCCTGCCTGTCTGAGGGTCTTTATTCTCCTGCTTATGAGATGTGAGTCCTGCTAGTGAGAAGGAAATCGAGGAATGTATGCTGTTAGTTGCCACTTGTTTTTTCCCAAAAGACTGGAAGAGCCAACCTTTTCCAAACTGGCTATTTGAGTGCTGGCAAACTGTTGAATGAAATTACTTGAAGTTTGTTTAGGTGGTACTGGGACCAGAATTCTGGGTGGTGTTCACATCATGACTATGTACCTCCAGGTAGCTAAGCAGACCGATGAAGATACCCTGTGCCTCCTTGTGACTGCTCATTTATAACCCTCAGTTTTCACCTCCTTCTGCCCTTGTCCCTGATGAGGGATGCACAGTTCTGTAGGATTCACTGGGAAGGAACCATGATCTCCTGCCAGGATGTAAAAACCCAGGCAATGACTCAGTGCCACGCAGCCCTGCAGCTGGGTGAGGGTGGGGGGACACACTGGAGGTGGGAGCAATATGCAGGGAGAGGGCAGGCGTTCAGGGCAGGGGGCTGAGCTGTAGCCTGAGAGGAGAACAAGGTGTTCTGCCGGTTTGACTTTGGCTGTGACGCCCAAACCATGTTGCTGCTGCTGAAATCGGGGTCTGCGCAGCTCCAGGTTTGCTTTTCCATCAGTAAGGGTCCAGCACAGCACCAACATTTGCTCACTGTTCCCTTTCGACAAAGCCTTCCTGGGGATGCTGAGCAACAGGAGAGCAGAGGGAGCTGCTGTTCATGTACACATTTGCTGTAAACACGGAGAGCATTCTGCTCCTGCACGGTGGGATGCCCTGCCTAACCCAGATCAACACCGGTGTGGCCAATGCAAAGCGGCAAAACGGCAGCATGGCATCTTGCCTGCACCATGGGCAGTGGGAAGCACAGCCCTGCAGGCACCCTCTCAGCAAGGCCCCAGGCACTCACACTGCTCCCTGGTAGTGTGGTGCCTCTCCAAACAGGCGGCAGAATGCAGCACCTCTTCGGCCAGCTGATTTGCTGTGTGCCTGCATCCGTCACATCTGCTGGTTTTAATGGTGTGAATCAGCTTTTATTGCCTCTCACTTAGAAAACACAAAAAAGAGGGCAGCCAAAGGCTGGGTGTCGATCCTCCATCTTCATTTTCTGTAGAAATGTGTGCTGTGGTGCAGGCACTTCCAATTTGGTTAAGCCACTGAAAGTTTGGAGGCTGAACAGGTGTGAAGATGCCTGCAGAGTTTTCAGTGCTGGCAAGGGGAGGAAGGAGCCCTGCTGCAAGCCAGCTGCCCTAAAACAGCCTTGCAGAGCTGGTGCACAGAGGGTTCAGCTTTTTCTGATATCTCATCATCCTCTTGGCAATAAGCACACGGTTTCGTAATGGCTTGCAGTTGTTTCAAACGAGGCTGAGCAAAGAGCCTGGTGAAACGCCCTCTGAGCTGCCCCATCCTAAAGCTGGTAGGGAAGGGTCCCTAAGGGCTGTCGTGTTTTATGGGACACATTTTCTCCCCAGCCCCCCGCCACAAAGAGCAACCCCATGGATGTCAAGGAAGGCAAGTGCTTCTCTGCATCCAGGTCAGAAAGAAAACTTTCTGCATCTGAGACTTCTTGGCCCTTCTTCCCCTGCAGATCATGCTTTGCAAAGGAAGGTCCAGTCACTCACATTGCTCACATTGCCCCAGTCACCATTGTATGCCACTTGTCCCACAGCATCGTGTCCTGGGACTGGCTGCAGGGCCACATGCATAAGCAGCGAGGAGCAAACCCACAAGGAAATTCAGGCAGTGCTTGGTTTTGCATAACAGTGCTATTTTGTGTCACTTGTGGCTTACTGTTGTGTTGTATGAGAAGAGATTATTGGATGCAAAGCCTCAACACTGTAACTGGAAGGAGAGACGGACAGTAGTTACATCCATCAGTGAATCTGGAGGAGATGGTGAACAAAGGCAGGTTTGCATTGTTCCTCCTCATGTTTTAAGACAGGGATGGTATGGGGCCTGTCGGGGGAACCACTGGTCCTTTGCTTCTTCTGCAAAGCAGCCATCACAAGAGAGGAGGAGGATGCATATTGCTGCCTCTGGAACGACGGTATTTAGGTCATCCATATCGAGCTAAGACATGAGAGTATTGTCTGCGTCCCCATTGCTGAACGTGTAATGGGTTGGAGGCACTGTGCTGGTGACCCTGGATGTGCATTAGTATTGGCCTGTTGGTTTGTATTTCGTTTCATGACCTGCTTAGCGTGCTCTGTGCTATCATTGGGCAGGGAAAATTGAATTGCAGCACTCAGAAATTTCCTTAGCAAGAGGCAGCAGCCTGGGTATCTTCAGAAATAAACCAGGAGGGGGATATGGGTTTCTGTGCTTAGGATAATGGCCAATATCCTTATAGTTTGCGTGCTAGTTAGCACTTAGTTGCCAAGGAAAATACAAGAGAGGCCAGATCAGGCAGCCCCATGGGGCTTCAAAATTGTCTCTGGAAGTAGAAAGGATCACAGAATTTTGCCCTAACCGTCATCCCTCCAGGAATACCCTAATTGGTGCTGTGTGTATGTTCTGGCTGAGACTGAGTGCTATGAGTCGCCAGCTCCTTGGGCAGGCACTGTGGTGCCTAGCAGGAGGGGAGCAGGGGGGCTTCTGTGGGGGCCTGGCACAGCCGTGCTGCTGTGGGCCATGCCTGGTGTCAGCACGGCTTTGCTGGGCAGGGCAGTGAGGGTGGCACGGTAAGTACGACGATGCTGTGGGACGCATTCCTGTGCTTCTCTCTGCTTTTGTTTTCAATCAGTACAGACGATAAAAATGCTTTCACAAATGTTCCGTGGGGGACCCTGCTGACCGGCAGCCGGGTGTCTTTGCTCCTCATTCCCCTGACCACCTTCCACTCTCCCCTCTCCTCCCAGTGGGTCCTGGGTGCTGCCCACATCAAATGTCTGTGGGTTTCCACACGGGCACAATTCTGACGCCAGGCATAATGTGGCGAGCGAGCAGGAATACAGCACACAGACCTGGGACGATCCCAACGTGCAGATTGCAGCCGGCACCGAGGACTACGTGCATTTCTGCGTTTGCACGTTTGCACGTGGTTACAACCTCCTGCCGTGCCATGGTGGAGGAGGGGGGTCACGTCCCACCAGGCTGCGTCCGTCGGCAGCTAAAGTGCAGCAATGCAAAAGGGAGCGTTAATCAGCACCGCTCTGGGCTCAATAACATGCGTGTGGATCAGAGTGGGATGGGGCAGGCGGAGCGCCGGGCTGCGTCCTGCCCTGCAGGATTGCCAAATATTGGGGGGCTGCGCCGCTCTGCGCCAAAAGCCATCGGCACTGCGACCGCGCGGCCGCGACGTCTGCGAGTCCTGCGTGTGCCTCGGCAGCCCCACGCTGCGCCATAACCGCGTCCTCAGCGCGCCCAGCGGACGCGGGCACCGACGGCCAAGCAGCACCGAGCCTCGGCACCTCCACGACCCTGCCTAGCCAAACAAGGGCCCAAAAATGAGCATTTGAGACACCAACCAAATTCGGCAGGTATGGAGCTTCTCTTGAACCAAGAAAAAACAACAAAAAAAACCACTGAGTTGGGAGTTGGAAGCAGCGGGGAAGATGGTGCTGGGGTGACTTTGCCGTGAGCTCCTCCCGCTGTGCGGTGGGCCATGCAGCTCTCTCACCCGTCTTTTTTCACTCCTTTCCTCTCTTTCCTTTCCTGTGTGTTTTTTGCATGACTTTAACTGACGCTGACTTCTTGACCTCATGGCGAGCAGCTAACATTCTTCCCCGAGGTGTGGGCTAACAGCACTGGTAGCTGCCTGACCTGTAGCTGGCTGTTCTTAGATGCCCTTCTCTGTGTTTTTCTTAATACCTCTTTTTCTTCTCTCTGCCAAACACTTTTTGTTCAAAGAGAACTAAAAGCAGATTTCTGAAATTCCTAGACAAGCCCAACGACAGACGACAGCACTAAACAAAATAACTGAGCAGGCAAAGCTCACGGCAAGGTCATTCCCCAGCTTATGTCACCTGCAGGTCTGCTTCCAACTCGAGATTAATTCAAGGATCTACCAGTCCTTGGTTAATGTAAAGAACCAATTGTGTGCCGCACACGCTCAAGAAAGTTAAAAAAGAAAAAAAAATTTTGGAAAATCTGCATGAGCTGCACCGACACATGAATCTGATCAAAGAGCAAACGTGACTCCTGGTCCGTGCATGGTGCATGATGATTTCTGTGAGCTGGGATCCTCTGAATTGTTTGCTATGAGAAATCAGAACAGCTCTATATGGCTGAATGCCCTGCAGTTACTAACTGTACATCAGACATTATAGGGACTGCATCTGTGTATGTATATGTGCATTGTTACAGGGATGGCGTATGTGTATGTTCAGCTGTATGTATATATACATTTATGATGTATATTGTAGTTGTTGTGGGGTTTTTTTTGTTTGTTTGTTTGTTTTCCTCCTTAATTTAGTTGTTTTAGATTTCCTTATATGTTGAGCAGCCCTGAGTCAGTGCCTTTGGCCTGATGTGTTCTTTCCATTGCAGAACCGCATGCACGAATCACTGAAACTGTTTGACAGCATCTGCAACAACAAGTGGTTCACAGATACGTCCATCATCCTCTTTCTAAACAAGAAGGACATATTTGAGGAGAAAATCAAGAAATCTCCACTGACGATCTGCTTTCCTGAGTACACAGGTAATGAGAAAGCTCATGCGTGGGGCTGCAGGACAAAGGCATGGGAGGGCTGCACACGGCGCTCCCCACCCAGGCAGGCAGAGAGCTGAAAGAGTTCTGAATGCACAGCTGTACTCCCATCAATTTCTCTGCAAAAGTTTTTTTTTTTTCCTTCACTATATTCCCAACCATCTCCAGTGGGTCACAAAAAGCAGAGGAGTGACTTAGAAGTTCTTTGGCACTGAAGAGCCACCACTGCTCATCAGGGCATTTGCACGGTCAGGGTATTGGCACAGTGATGGCGTTTGCAGGGAATTGCACAGCCCTGCTTCCTGATGCCTGCCTGGTGCCTGACCTACTCATGATGGGAACACATCTCCCATGCAAAGTCTGCAGCTGCACCCTGCTGCTTCCCGCTGCAGATCCCACAGACCTTCATTACCATTCCGAGAGGGCATAATAAAAATAAGCTTTTATCATCATGAATTATTTAAGTTCACCAGAGACATCCAGATGAATCAAGCTGACAGACAGAGAAGCGGATCTCTTTGTCAGGAAACATAGCTGTGAACCGGGAGCACCAGGAGCATCACACTTATGGGCAGGCCAACAAATTATTAACCAGAGCCATCTACCTCTGAGCACTTCGTTTTTGCTGTGAATAGGGAAGAGCAATCCACTCCTGCTCCTCTGGGCTGCATGGTGGATCATCAACTCTGCCTGAGTTCTGAGGAGCACCTCCAGGTTTCCTCAGCAGGAAAGGTCTGGGTGTTTGTCACCACCACCACAACTCAGCCATCTACTTGTCCCCCTGCTCCAGGCAGAAACACAGTACTCCTGTACAACCACAATGTTCCTGGCACTTTAGTCTAAGAGATCTATACTGGAATCTCTACTAAAAGATCTAATTCTTGAAGGGAGAATATAAACAAGAGGGAGAGCGACTCTTTACAAATCATAGGTTAAGGAGAAACGGTTTTAAACTGAGACAGGGGAGGTTTAGGTTGGATATTAGGAGGAAGTTTTTCCCCCAGAGGGTGGTGAGGCACTGGCATAGGTTGCCCAAGGAGGCTGTGGATGCCCCATCCCTGCAGGCATTCAAGGCCAGGCTGGATGTGGCTCTGGGCAGCCTGGGCTGCTGGTTGGTGACCTGCACACAGCAGGGGGTTGGAGCTGGATGAGCACTGTGCTCCTTTACAACCCAGGTCTTTCTATGATATGACTCTATGATCTAGCAATGGAAAGGGCACAGTCTTTGTGGCTGAAGGCTCACAGTAATGCCAACCTCATGTTTTTCATGGTTGTAGAATAGGATGTTGCTTGCTCTCTTTTTGGATCACTGTATTCTTTATCCTGGAAGATTTTTATCTTCCCCTCTTCCTGTGTGCAGCAAACCTGCACCTTTCACACTTTCCTCATCAAGTTTTGTGCACTTAAGTTAGTTAACCTTCCCTGAAGTCTCCCAGTAATCCCGTTCCGAAATAATACCCTTCCACACTTCTGATGGCAGAGGCTGGAGCAGCCAGGAAGTGTTAGATGCCACTTGTCCTCCCCAAGGTGAGTTCAGTACTGGGGGCAGCCCTCAGCTCCCCTCCAAGTGCCGGGAGGAAAACAAATATGGTTTGCTCCTAGAACACCCCATCTCAGGCTGAGCCACTGCAGCCCTCTCCAGCTCCTCCAGCTCTCAGCATACTCCAGATTCCCTCGAGGTGCCATTCTGGATGCCCAGCCCATAGCAAATGCCTCGTAGCATTGGGAAAAGCAACGGGAAGTGGAAAGTTGCCCTGGAGTTAAAAAAAGAATATTTGATGAAAGCCTGTGAAAGAGACAAGCGGGATTCTGACATCAAAAGTCGGTTACACAAAATGCTTTTAATGAAATGAAGTTTCTGATGTCCATTAGTTCTGCTGGTAAAGAATTATTAGAGAACTGCATTCACAAATGTGCTAGCTGCATGCTAGAGCACTGCCTATTTCCATCCCCTTAATTCACCCGCGCTTTCAGCTAATCCGCAGTGCTCAGCAGCACAGCAGCACGATCCGGGCTGTGCTCTGAGCCATGCTGGTGTTTGTGATTCCGGCCATCCAGGATCTTAATTCTAAATCCTTGAGCGACCAACATCGCTGCATCTCCCAGTGTCCTGCTTTGTGCTCTGGCCCAAACTCTGCACAGCTTCTCGGGCAGCATCCTGCTCCCAGCACACATCCTTGTCGTACTTCAAGCGCATCTCAAGTCTTGTGGCCTCCATGTTTTCAAACAGCAGTGGAGGTACAGATGACAGCCACCACTTGTTGCCTTCAATCGCAGCAAATCACAGCCCCAGGCAGAGCTTCACTGTCTCATCACAGTGTCTCCCCAGGGGTTGGACCTTGTGGGTCCCTTCCAACTCTGGATATTTGGTGATTCTATGAAAACAACAATTGAGGGAGAAGGATCCAAGCGTGGATCCATGCAGGGGCCGGGGGGAGCTGAGCCTCCCAGATCTGTGCCAGGTGGAGCTGTGTGTGTCAGCCAGTGCCTGTCATCCAGGATGACGTTTTTTGATGCTGAGCCACCCCTGAGCTTCTTAGAACTCTGCTCCATGCATAAGGGCTGAGGTTTGGCACAGAGACTCGTAACGAGGAGCTCCTCCTGACACGATTTTGGCCATGCAATCCTAAGTCATCCGAAAGGCCCAGCGAGGTGGTGGATGTCTCATCCCTGGAGACATACAAGGTCAGGCTGGATAGGGCCCTTCTTTGATTCTGAGCGAGCACTTTTGTCTTTCAAAAGAAAGAAACAGAACCACTGGCACTTCTTTGTAGCGCGGTGCCCTGGGACATGGGGCTGCGGGTGCAGGTCCATGGTACACCCTAACCAGCTCTTCCCCTCTGGGCTTATCTCTCTGCAGGCCCCAGCTCCTTCACCGAGGCAGTGGCGTACATCCAGGCGCAATACGAGAGCAAGAACAAGTCTCCCAACAAGGAGATCTACACGCACATCACCTGCGCCACCGACACCAACAACATCCAGTTCGTCTTCGACGCTGTCACGGACGTCATCATCGCCAACAACCTGCGGGGCTGCGGACTCTACTGAGGCCTCAGCAGACAGGTCCCCCTTCTGCTTCCCCTCCTTGGAGGGTGATGAGGAAGGAACACGTGAACCCTTCCCTCTGCCCAGAACTGCAGCGTCCCACCTTCCCTGGCCCCCTCCCTGGCTTATTTGGGTTTATTTTTGGTGAATTCCCCTCGCTGCCTCTTTCTGCTCCTCCGTTCCCATTCGCAGTGCTGTAGAAGGAGCTGATGCATTTCCCACAAAGTGCATTTCAACTGCCGAAAAACAGTAATACCCCATTTAAAAAAAATAATAATAATCAAAGCCTTAAAGTATTTGTCAGCAACAGCGTAGTTTGGATCCAAACCCATTTTTTTTTTCTCCTTGAAATTAAGGGATATTTGTAATGCTTGCTATTTATCTCTTCCAAAATTGCCATTTCCTGGGCAGCAGCAAATCGTTTTTATCCCATTGCTCCAGCTCCTGCCCCTGGAGCCCCAGGAAGAGCCCCAGCAGCCCCGCTCTGTGCTCTGCTCTCTATCAGTGACACAGCCACAGGGGCCTGAGGGAGACCCACACAGTTACAGCACCTCCGAAGCGATGCCTAAAATTGCTGCAGATAACAGTTTTACATCAATATTTTTAGAATTAATGTTAAGATCTGCCTGGTGTAAAGTAAAGAGTAAAGAGTAGAGTAAAGTGGCTCCCGTCCCCAGCCCTGTTGTGCTTTGCTGGGTCCCATGTGGAATGGCTGTAGGGAAGTGCCCATGGTGGGGATTTCCCTGTGTGCCAAGGGAGGAAGTGTCCCAGCCAGGGCTCTGTGCATGTCATGGTGGCCCTGGGGATGCTGCTGGCAACCCACAGCCCTCTGCCCCACGTTGCACCGATGGGGACTGCAGGGAGATGTCCCGGAGCCCTTCCAGACTGACTGCAGTGCTGATGTTCCTAACTTCAGCTCTGGAACACCAGAAATATTCACACCGGTTTCCTGCAGCCAGGCTGTACCTATAAAGCAGGGATGTGCTTTTGGAAGCCTCATTGGAAACCAGCAGCAGCTGGTGGATTTGTCACCCATGCCCCTGCATCCTGGAGGTGTGGCTCCAGAGTTAGTCACAGAGTTGGTCACCTGCCAACCAGCAGATGGGGAAGGTTGACCTGTCTGCTTTGTGGGGAGGGAGCTGAGCTGAGCTGAGCTGAGCCGAGTCATGGAGCAGGAAAAGGGCAAGGAGAAGGGATTGGGGGAGAGCAGGGGACAAGTGAGTGGGGAGGGGCTGGGGAGCTCAGGGGTCAGAGACAGAAGTTGCAAAAGGACTGTAGGGGAGATGAAAGCAGCAGGAGGGAGGAGAGGCTAAAGAGCTGAATGTTAGTTCCAAGTGATACCTTCAGTGTACGTAACTGTCAGCTCCAGCACGGAGCACATCATGTGCAGAGTGCCCCAGTGCCTACACCAGCAGCAAGGCCTTACTGAGCTCCATCAGCAGAATCAACTCAGCAGCATGCGGGGTTTGGAGGTGCGCTGTTTCCACCCCTTACTGTGCCTGACATTTTCTCCAGTTCACCAAGTCACAGAGGCTGTCTCCAGTGAAGGCAGCACCAAACCAAAGCCTCAGGAGGGTCTAGAATGGAGAATGCAGGGCTCTTTCGGGGAAGAAAGTGTGAATTAACCACAGATGTGGCTGTGTCACCACTCCCCGTGACTGGCAGTCCAGGCAGTGCCAGACTGGGGCAGCCCAAGTGCCAGCCCAGTGTCTGCAAGATGGGGAGCGGGGGCAGGAGGCGGTGCTGCAACGGAGCCTTTCCTTTCCTTTGGCATTTTGTACATCTAAAGCTCCATTCCAGCTGCTGCTGTTGGTGTTCCGTTCCCTCCTTCCCAACAGATGTGCCTTCTGGAGGCGATGCTCCTTCGTGGGGTACCACGTGCAGGGCACACTGAGGGGTCGCAGCAGAAAGGGAGAACCTGGTGCTGCTCTGTATGCAGCAAGAGGGCCAGTTTCAGGGAGATGGCAAAACTCCATCAGCTCACTTTGCTGAAGGGCAATTCCAAAGACGCAGAACCCCGCAGGAGGAAAACCTTTCCAGGGCCTGATAGCAATAAGCACACACCCACAAGCACACCTGAACGCACAGCCACGTGCTCCAAAGGCCACATCTCCTGGGCCCGTAGGGACCCCCTCAGAGAGTGCAGCACAGCCGTGCAAACGACCCGGCAGAGACAGGAGCTCTGGCAGCACCCAGTGCCCCGCAGTGCCTTCACCGTGACCAGCCTCAGCCCTCCGCCTCTCACACAGAGTTGAAAGAGGAACCCCCTCCCTACTAAAACCCCGCTCCCAATGCAGCACCCTCTCCCCGCTCCTCCTTTCCCCCTGCAGCTCGACACAGGAGCAGCGACCGTCACCGTGGCTCTGGCGCCATCCCCTCCTCCCGCCGGACCGCCGAGCCGCTCCTCCCGCATGTCTGATGGCCCCAACCGCATTAACTGTAATTTTGTACGAAGAGTGACTGTCCATTGGTTTAATAGAACGTTAGCTATTGTAATAATTTATTGGCTGTCAGTAATGTATTTATTAGTTACAAAATGTTAATAAAGTGCCAGCTCTTTTCTAGTGTGAGAGGGCTTTATTTGGTCTCCCTTGGCATGTTCTGCTTCTTGGCCCCAGCATCGGCCGTTCTTCTGCTCCGTGCACGTAGAGCAGCCATCCATGTGCTGGGTTTCCTGCTCTTGCCATGCACCTGGAAGAGCACTGGCAAAGGATGAAGCCAGAAGGTGAGAGATCTTCACCCCAACATGGCCGTACCCGCGCTGCTCATTGCCAACGCAAGCAGCCAACTGCAACACTGCGGGGTAAAGAGCAGCCATGTGCACTGCGCTCTTTCGAAGACCCGGCCTTCTGCTGCGAGGCTCTGCTGTTGTAAGCATCTGCACGAAAGGCATTCAGACAAACCATGGCGATCTGGCACCATGCATTGCAGACGGCGTCCTCAGCTTGTTGCCAGCGTTGCCCCAAGCCTTCCTCCAGCGTCGTGGCTGCACACCCAGCACCAGCAGCGAGCGTTGCGATGTTCTGCCTCCGTCAGTCAGTGCCAGCACAGCGACAAAGGCACTATTTCTGGTTCAATTTCAGCAAATCGTGCTTCTCCCCCACCACGGTGACACAATACTTGGAGCACCTTTCGGTCCCCTCAAAATAACACTCGTGTCACTTTGTTCTTTTGTGTTTGATCCAAAGGGCTTCCATTACTGGAGGCAAGAAATAGAAAGCATGAATACCAGTTTGAAGAAAGCAAGGGAAAATTTTCCATCAGCCTCAGCGTAGGAAAATCAGCTGTCATTGCTGCTGCCTTCACTGCGTTCAGCGCTGCGGCTTCGGCAGGACCTGGCCTCACAGCCCCATCCTGCAGAGCTAAGGACCAGCTCCAGGGAGCACCAGAGGCTCAGGAAGAGGGATTTTCCTTTGTGTATTTGTCCTAGGATTTCCCAACATCTCCTCCAGGATGGTGTCCTGCATGGGCGCCTGGAAGTCATCAGGGCTGTTCTCGCTGCATTTGGGGCTTCCATCCCCCAGGCGCAGCCTTTGTTTCCTCCGCTCCTGCACCACTCCTTTATAGTGTTCATGCAGAACAAAGCGGGGTGAACAAGGAAACGAAACCTGCCCTGCTGCCTGCGGGAAAACCGCCAGCCCTTTTGCAAAGGCCACTTGGCCAAGGCGAGAAGAGCCGCATCCACTTGTGATGGTTTGTTTTCAATCAATCAATAGGAGTTTTTAAAATACATGTATAAGGATCAAATGAGGTCCAGAAGCTCTGGAAAGCAGCTGTTTGGCATTCACAGCTCTGCTTCGCCAAGGAAACGACAGCGTAATCTCAAAGCCTTTCGAGATGAAATCAGACATCTGCTAAATTTTGCATGCAAAAGCTGCAGCCGAAGTGTAGCTAAGAAAATGACTCACTAATAAAACATTCATGGAAAACTCCAAAATGTGTAATTGGGTCATCATTTCATTAGGGAGCACCTGCACGCTCCCGGATGGCGAAGGAGCGCTGTGCCCCGACTGCCAAGCCCACAGCCCTGCAGCCCCTCGGCATCGCCTCCTCCTGCTCTCCTTTCTCTCTGTCCTCTCTGCTAACAGCTCCCACAGCACGGGGAAGGCCGGGTGTGGTTTGTTCATGCATGAAAGGAGTACTAAACAACACGGCTCTTAGCGGTTTCCTCTGTGTTCCTGCTCAAGCTCTCACATGCTTTAAGCCTCCCCAGAGCAGCCCAGGGGCGGGCTCGGCAGCTCCCTTTGTGCCCTGCATTTCTCAGCCAGGAGCTGCGGTTCCCAAAGGCTGAGGACTTGGCTGAGGGCTCCGTGGGGCAGCACCTGCCCCAGCCCCGTGCTGCACCCTGGGCTGTGCCCCACCGTGATGGCATCACTTGGCCCACAGGTGGGTCACCCCAGAGCCCGCAGCCGCTTCCCTCCCTCTTTGAGCAGATGATGAATCAACAGCTCTTTCTCCACTGTTTCTCGTGACTCCAGCATCAGTCCTGCCAGGAGCAGGGGGTGGTGGCGGAGAAGCTGCAGCCCCATGCCCCACCTCACCCCTACCCCTGTCTGACTGTACGGGTTTTGCTTCCTAACCATTTCAGTGTGGAAAAACCAGTTCTCTTCTCTTCTAACTCTCTCTCTTTGCCTTTCTCTCCTCCTCTCCATGCTCCCTGTTGCAGAACCGCATGCACGAATCTCTCATGCTCTTCGACTCCATCTGTAACAACAAATTCTTCATTGATACCTCCATCATTCTCTTCCTCAACAAGAAAGACCTATTTGCCGAGAAGATCAAGAAGTCCCCCCTGACCATCTGCTTCCCCGAGTACGCAGGTAGGTGTGGGGCTGCAGCTCAGAGCTGGGGAGGGTCGTGGATGCTGAGGCACCTCCAGGGGTGCACCAGCCCTGGGCGTTCCTTGGGCTCTTGTTTATGTTTGGTGAATTCTTGCGGCAAGCAGCGGGGGGTTGGAGCGCCCTCGGCGCATCCAAGTGCAGAAAGCTCCGTGCTCTGAAGTGCTGTGAACGCCTTCACCAGCATCTCTGCTCCTTGTGGTAATGCACTTCTCCTCCTCCTGCCCACGGGGCTCCTGAGGCGCTCACTGGCCACAGGTCTGCCATCCTCTCCACATGCAGCACCAGCCCCATGGCGCAGCCGTTGGGTTGTCTGCAGCCACCCGAGGGGATGGGCCACCATTGGCATGGAGAAGACCAGGCCAACGAGGCTGCAGTCAGGGTGCTCCTGCACTCGGCCGTGCTGATGGGGCCCGAAGAGGAGTGGGGCTGCAAGCGCCCCAAGGCCACAGCTCCCACCTCACCCTCTGTGAGATGCAAAGTGCAGTCCTGGGGGGAAGGAGTCTCTACAGTGGAAATCCTTCAAATCACAGGAGATTCGTACTTTTTAAAAAAGAGTAAATGAAACCAACATGGCTTGGGAAAACTAACAAAAAAAAAAAGAATGAAGAAAACGCCATAGAAAGATGTCTGCTCTGAATATTCTAAGGGGAAGAAATTATCTCCGGTGTGGGAAGCTCCAGCACCTCCCATGAGGGCTTGGTGCCCCTGCCCTGGCACACCTCTGTGCCCTATGGGCACCCCAGGGTGATGCAGATGGGCCCAGCCACAACAGTCCTGGATCCCAGCACAGACACAGCTCCACTCTCGCTGTCCTTTCTGGCCAATCCCCAAAGCACATCAGCTCACTCTCCATCCCAAGGCTGGGGCCGGCCCTACAACCACATTCTGTGTCTGGAAGGAGGGGAAGCAGCGCGCTTGAAAAGGAAACTAAATCTGCAGATAACAGCGACTCTCCCAAAGGCGATTTCAGGGGCATAATGCAGGCTTTGTAGCTCCCTGCGAGGAGCCTGGTGCAGCCACTCTCATCACTGTAAGCAGCTTAATGCCATAATGCACATTTTTCGACCCGAACATCTGGCCCTCCTCCAGCCTGCGAAGCTCCCCAGAGCACCAAGCAAAGGGCATTGGTGTGGCACTGAGGGGCTCCCACACACCGCAGGGTGCCTCTGGCCCACCACATGCAAGTCCCTTGTCCCACCCATGGGTGACGGTGGAGGGGGCACCCAGTGGACATCCCAACCCTTTCCACTGATGTTTGGCCCTGGGGCTGCCCAACACTATGGGATGTGTGGTGGGGACTCATTGGTGCTGCTGGGATGGGCATCCCTGAGGGTGAACGGGTATCCCTG